CATACCTGCTTTACCACCTTTCGTCTGTCTTCCCCCTTTACTTTTTGTGTTTGACCAATCTGACGTAGATCGGAGTTGCATAATCTAGTCAAGTCACTGAAAAGTTTTTTTCTTTCTCTTCTCTATGGTGTTATCAGTTTCTCTTTCTCTAGCACCGGCACAGCTAAGGAATAGAAAGTTTTGATTTTTCTATAGAAGAAAGGTGGGTTTTTAGGATCAACGTTACATGCTATTTGAAATGCATTTATCACATTTTCTTTCACCGAGTTAGAGCAAATATGGATAAGTCCTTACAGTCTCAGTCATTTTTAACATGGATCCGTGCTCAGTTCCTGAATTTCTGTCTCCTACTCGATATGCAGGATTTTTGACTGCAGTAGCTTTTCGTGATTAGCACGTAAAACTGCATATTTAACATTTCACTAGACTGTATTGGATTTAGATTGACCAGCTGACGTTAGATATCACCTCGAACTGTTTATTTTTAGCGTACCGTTTCAGGTCATTTACGGAAGAGACATAGGAGAGCTTCTTACTGTTACTTTTCTTGATAACGTAAACGTATTCTGATTTGCTTAACAGCTTACTCAAAGGCTTTAATGTTAAACAGAACCAAAGAAGACTGATGCAAGTGGAACTTTCGCAAGACTGGAAATGTTTTTCTATATGAAACTGCCTTTGTGCTTGAAACAGAGAGTATTTAATAGTCGCAGTGCTAACCTATGGCTGTGAAACGCACATCCCAAGAATAAAAATATTCATACACTACAGATTATGCAACGCAACATGGAAAGATGAGTAATGTGCATGGCAAGAAAAGATAGGATGCACCAACAGGATTGTGCAATATTATTGGCTGAGTGAAGAAACTAAAGTGACGATACGAAAGCCACGCTGCAAGAAGAACCGAGAGTCGCAGGAGCACAAATACGTTAGACTGAAATGAAAGCAGATATAGGGCATAAAGGCCGCCACAATGGCATATATACTGTGGAATAACGATCTACGTTAGTCCGTGAAGAAATCTGATTTTACAAATAAATGACAAAGAAAAAACATTGTTA